CGGGGTTTCACCATGTTGGTCAGGCTGGTCTTGAACTCCCGACCTCAGGTGATCTGCCCGCCTTGGCATCCAAAGTGCTTGGATTACAGGCGTGAGCCACTACGCCCGGCCGATATTAGACCTTTGTCAGATGTGTAGTTTGTAAATATTTACTCCCATTCTGTAGGTTGTTTACTCTGTTGGTAGTTGCTTTTGCTGTGCAGAAGTGCTTTAGTTTAATTAGATCCCATTAATCAAATTTCATTTTTGTTGCATTTGCTTTTGGCATCTTCATCATGAAATCTTTGCCAGGGCCTATGTCCTGAATGGTATTGCCTATGTTGTCTTCCACGGTTTTTATAGTTTGGGGTTTATGTTTTATAGTCTTTAATCCATTTTGAGCTGGTTTTTGTATATGGTGTAAGGAAGGAGTCCAGTTTCAATCTTCTTCATGTGGCTAGCCAGTTATCTCAGCACCATCTATTGAATAGGGAGTCCTTTCCCCATTGCTTATTTTTGTTGACTTTGTTAAAGATCAGATGATCAAAGGTATGTGACATTATTTCTGGGCTCTCTATTCTGTTCCATTGGTCTGTGTGTCTGTTTTTATACCAGTACCATGCTGTTTTGGTTGCTGTAGCCTTGTAGTATAGTTTGAAATTGGGTAACGTGATGCCTCCAGCTTTGTTCTTTTTGCTTAGGATTGCCTTGGCTATTTGGGCTCTTTTTTTGGTTCAGTGTGCATTTTTAAATATTTTTTTCTAATTATGTGAAGAATGTCATTGGTAGTTTGGTAAGAATAGTATTGAATCTGTAAATTGCTTTGGGCAGTATGCCCATTTTAATAATATTGATTCTTCCTATTCATTAGTGTGGAATGTTTTTCCATTTGTTTGTGTCATCTCTAATTTCCTTGAGCGGTGTTTTGTAACTCTCATTGTAGAGATCTCTCACCTTCCTGGTTTGCTATATTCCTAGGTATTTTATTCTTTTTGTGACTATTGTGAATGGGATTGCATTCTTGATTTGGCTTTCAGCGTGGGTGTTCTTGGGGTATAGCAATGCTACTGATTTTCGTATATTGATTTTGTATCCTGAAACTTTGCTGAAGCTGTTTATCAGATCTAGGAGCTTTTGGACATAGGCTATGGGATTTTCTAGGTATAGAATCATGTTGTCTGCCAACAGAGATAGTTTGACTTTTTGTCTTCCTATTTGGATGCCTTTTATTTCTTTCACCTGCCTGATTGCTCTGGCCAAAACTTCCAGCACAATGTTAAATAAGAGTGGTAAGAGAGTGAAACCTTGTCTTGTTCCTGTTTTCAAGGGGAATGCATCCAGCTTTTGCCTATTCAGCATAACGTTGGCTGTGGGTTTGCCATAGATGACTCTTACTATTTTGAAATATATTCCTGCAATGCCTAGTTTGCTGAGAGTTTTTCATATGAAGGAGTGTTGAATTTTATCGAAAGCCTTTTGTGCATCTACTGAGATGATCATACAGTTTTTGTCTTTAGTTCTCTTTATGTGATGAATCACATTTATTGACTTGCATATGTTGAACCCTACTTGCATCCCAGGGATAAAGCCTACTTGGTCGTGGTGGATTAGCTTTTTGATGTGCTGCTGGATTCCACTTGACAGTATTTTGTTGAGGATTTTTTCATCGATGATCTTCAAGGATATTGGCCCGAAGTTTTCTTTTTTTGTGGTATCTCTGACACACTTTGGTATCAGGATGATGCTGGCCTCATAGAGTGAGTTAGGGAGGAGACCCTCCTTTTCAATTTTTTGCAATAGTTTCAGTAGGAATCGTACCAGATTTATACATCTGGAAAAATTTGGCTGTGAACCTATCTGGTCCAGGGCCTTTTTTCGGTTGTAGGCTTTTTATACTGATTCAATTTTGAAACTCAATGTTAGTCTGCTCAGGGATTAAATTTCTTTGTTGTCTTGTCTTGGGGCGTTGTATGTGTCCAGGAATTTATCCATTTCCTCTATGTGCCTATATGTGTTCATAGTAGTCTCTGAGGGTTTTTTTTTAATTTATTTATTTATGTGGGGTCAGTGGCAATATCATATTTGTCATTTCTGATTGTGTGTATTTGGATCTTCTCTCTTTTTTTCTTTATTAGTGTAGCCAGTGGTCTATTCTTTATTTGTGTAGCTAGCAGTCTATCTTATTATAAAATTACTTTCTAAATAGGTAATACATGTATAAGTTACAAAATCTGAAAGTACAACAGGATATACAGTAAAAAGCAAATGCTCTGGCCCCTCCAGATCCCCAGAGGTAATGTTATTATTTTGTGAATTCTTCTGGAGAACATGCATTTAAGTGATTTTTTCAATGCCAATGATAGGGAACTATACACACTGCCCTGCTTTTTACATTTAACATCTTAGGGACTGGTCCCTATTAGGGTCTATGGTGCTGTCTCTTTCGTTTTCCTCGTTGCAAACTATTCCATTGCATAAAAGCCACAAAATGTAACTAGTGCCCCATTGATGGAAACTTGTTTCCAAACGTTTTTTCTGTTAAACACTGCTGTAATCAATAACTTAAGGCATGTAATTTAACATATATACAAGTGTATTTGTGGAATAAATTGGAAGTCAGGTTTTAAAGCTTAATTGCTACTGCCAAATCACTCTCTACAAGCAGTTGTATAGGTTTACATCTAACTAGCAACGCATAAAAGCATTTCTCTATACTCTTGCCAATACCATACATTAGCAGGTTTTTTAATCTTTGCTAATCTGTTAGGTTAACAGATTCTCGTCGTTTTATTTGGCATTGTTTCCATTATAACATTAAGCATCATTTCACATATTTAACATCAAGATATATCTCCATTTCTGAGATCATTCTGTTCATATCTTCTACATCTCCTTTAATCATGTTGTTAGACTTTTTTATTGATTTCTAGGAGTTATTTATATATTTAAAAATTAGTCCATGGCCTATAAGTTGTAAATACTTTTCCTACTTGGTAATTTGCAGTCTGTCTTTATTTATAATGGGGATTTTTGTTAGTTTTTTTTGAGACAGGATCTCACCATCACCCAGGCTGGAGTGCAGTGGCATGATTACAGCTCACTGCAGCCTCAACCACCCAGGCTCAAGTAATCCTTTCACCTCACCCTCCTGAGTATCTGGGACGACAGGTGCATGCCACCATGCCCAGCTAATTTTTGTATTTTTTGTAGAGATGAGGGTTTTGCCATGTTGCCCAGGCTGGTCTCAAACTCCTGGGCTCAAGCAATCTACCCACCTCAGCCTCTCAAATTGCTGGGATTACAGGTATGAGCCACTGTGCCTAGCCTGACGGGGATTTCTTGTGCCATGCAAAATTATCTCTTCTTTTATGGCTTCAGGGTGGTTTAGCTTATTTATAAACATGTTCCCCAACTTTAGTATTAGAAAAAAATCTCCCATGTTGTCTTAAGGTGCTTTTATGGGTTTATTTTACATTTAAATTGTTGCTCCCTGTATCCTTGATCCATAGTTGAGTGCAAGGCATGAAATGAAGATATAGCGTTTTTCCCAGATGATGATCTTATTGTACCAAAAATTATTATTATTATTTTGAGACGGAGTTTCGCTCTTGTTACCCAGGCTAGAGTGCAATGGCGCGATCTCGGCTCACCACAACCTCCATCTCCTGGGTTCAGGCGATTCTCCTGCCTCAGCCTCCTGAGTAGCTGGGATTACAGGCACGCGCCACCACGCCCAGCTGATTTTTTGCATTTTTTTTTTTTTTT